TCCCTTCGGTACTCCTGCTGGCCACACTATTCCTGATACAAGCCAGGATGCCATTGGCCTTCTTGGCCACCTGGGCACACTGCTGGCTCATATTCAGCCAGCTGTCAACAAGTATCCCCATGTTTTCTTCCACCAGGCAGCTTTCCAGCCACTCTTCCCCAAGCATGGAGCGTTGCATGTTGTAATGTTGTGCATTAGGAGTAACTCACAACATTTTGTGGACATTCAGTTTCATCCTTTCATCTAGCTCTGTTCTGCAACATAACCCATAACCTTTACATATTTTTATATGTAAAAACTCTTTAATGGAATAATTTGAGGTCAGAACAACTAATTACTATGTATTGCTATGTGTGTGTGTGAGGGGGTGCACACACGGAAGCAGCCCTGCTCACTCAGGTTTCTTACACATGAAAAAAAAAGAACAAACTGTTTCAACAACAAAATAAATTAAGAAAACTCCAATGGGAAGATGCATAAAAATAAGGCAAAGAAAGGTAGCAGAAAGATGCAGAAATACTCTTTCTGAACACTGTTCCTGCGCTCCTGATGGTTTCTCCTTTTGCCTCCAGGATCCCTCCCAACAAGTGTCAATACAACTGCTTATGGAGCTGCACAATAAACCAAACGCTAACAAATTCAGGAACAGCACTTTCAATATCGTGATTCATAGAATCATGGAATGGCTTGGGTTGGAAAGGATCTTCAAAGATCATCTGGTTCCACCCCCCCTGCCACAGGCAGGGATACCTTCCACTAGATCAGGTTGCTCCGAGCCCCGCTCAAACTGACCATGAACATTTCCAGGGACGGGGCATCCACAACTTCTCTGGGCAACCTGTTCCAGTGCCTCACCACTCTCATAGTAAAGAATGTCTGCCTCATAGGCAAGCTAAATCTACCCTCTTTTAGCTTAAAACAAGTGGCCCTTGTCATATCACTACAGGCCCTGTTAAAAAGTCTCTCTCTGTCTTTCTTATACATCCTCTGTAAGTACTGAAAGGCCACAATAAGGTCTCCCCAGAGCCTTCTCTTCTCCAGGCTGAACAACCCCAACTCAGCCTTTCTTCACAGGAGAGGTGTTCCAGCCCTTTGACCATTTTCGCAGCCATCCTCTGGAACCACTCTTAGCATGAGCTCTTTTTCATACTTAACTGCATTTCCTTCTTTTCCCTATTGAATAACCCAGCAAAACCTGTACTCAATGACTAAAACTCCTGATATTCCTAAGCCAGACAATGACATCACATGATGCCAACAGAGTAGCTGGTAGAAACGCCTCAAACTTTGCGCCAAGCCCACAGCACTGAGACATTGAATCACCTGGGAGGATGCTAGCCTAAGGCTCTAGAGTTGTTAATTTTTTCATGCAGACTCACTAGAGTGGTAAAATGTAAGAGCAATTCTTAATGGCAGCGTCTAGTATTGAAGCCAAGTGTCTGTATTTTGAAAAGAAATGAAAGTAAGATTTTCAGTCTCTCAAGGTTTCTGAACCTCCAATAAAAGATTTCCCCATTACAAAGAAAATTCCCTCTCCAAATTGGTTACATCTTACCTCTGCAGGATCACAAGCTCTGAGATTTTTTATTTTTTCATCCAAGAAATGGAAGACTCTGATAGCCACTGAAAAATAATTTTCCTTCATCTGTGTATTGCAGCAGCACTGAACAAGCACTGAACCAATTATATGAGTAGTTACTTTCTGTCTCATGTTGTCAGATTCCATTTCAGCAACGAGTATCAGATCATCAACCTTAGAAAAGGGAGTGGAGGAAAAACAACAACAGAAAGTCTGTAAGACAGTGGCACTTCATTATGACTTTACACCGTGTGTCATTTGCATGTCCAATTAAATCCCTGTTACTTTCTATCATTGGTAACAAATTACTGTCTTCAGAACCTGGGAATGCACAAATACCTGTTTCTATGAACTACCCATAGGTATACTTACTTGTTTATTCTCTAGAATTTTTTTCCAGGAAACTAGAAATTCCTGGAATTGAGTTACTCTAGTAATTTGTCAAATTGGTAACAGCTTTGCTTCTTCTTTTCTTTATGTTAAGGTAGAAATCTGTTTTATCTAGATTGTACTGGGGTTTGTTATTTTATATATATATATATATATATATATAAAAATGCATATACATATATATAAAGGCACATACATACATATATATATGTATGTATGTGCCTAACAGCTTGATTATGGCATACTAATGCTAAGAGGTGCACATACCAAGTTCTATATCATATTTGTTCTACTGTGCTGACCACGTGGAAAGTAAGATCTCTTAAGGTTAGGGTAACATGGTACACATACCATTTGCAATAGTAAGGAAGGGTCCCCTGAAGTCATGTTTTTAGAAAACAGCAGAATCATTTTCTTGTTGGCCACTCCAATTAACTCAGCAAAACTGCTAGATTTAATTGCCTCTTCGAGAGCTATTACAAGGAAAAAAATAACAATCAGGAAATCTAGGTATAAAAGTCACATATTAAAATGCTGATGGCTCAATAATATTTAGAAACAGTCAGAAACATACCAGACAATTTCTTCATCTTTTCAAGGAGCTTTTTAAAGACCTCTATTTGCACTCATAGCATGATAGCTTGTCAGTGACAGCCAGTCTCCTCCAGTAAGTGTTTAGGTTCAATAACCATGACGCCCTAAACTGTCACAATTTTTCTTTTACCAAATTAGTTACAATTAATGCTTTACCTTCTGGCCAACCTTTCAGTAAAGGGTGTAAGGAGCAGAGATCAGATTCTGACAGACAAACAGCCATTTTCCAATCTGAAGATTTTGAATTCGCATTAGTGATTACCATAAAAGGCAACAACTGCATTACTGCTTCATCTAGTAGTTCTTTTTTCTCTTTCAAAACCTCCTCTTTGACTAAAATTTTTATTGCTCGCTCCAGAACCTTGTACCTGAAAGAGAACAAGTGATGTTCAAAACCCATTGCTCAATCATACTAGCAACACTTAGAATCATAGAATGTTTTGGGTTGGAAGGGACCCCTAGAGGTCATCTAGTCCAACCCCCCTGCAGGAGCAGGGACACCACTAACTAGATCAGGTTGCTCAGAGCCCTGTCCAACCTGGCCTTGAATGTTTCCAGGCATGGGGCCTCCACGACCTGTGGCAACCTGTTCCAGTGTTTCACCACCCTCATTGTAAAGAATTTCTTCCTTATATCTAGTCTAAACCCACCCTGCTTCAGTTTAAAACCATTACCCCTTGTCCTGTCACAGCTGGCCCTACTAGAAAGATTTTCCCCATCTTTCCTATAGGCCCCCTTTAAGTATTGAAAGGCTGCAATCAGGTCTCCCCGCAGCCTTCTCTTCTCCAGGCTGAATAAGCCCAACTCTCTCAGCCTGTCCTCATAAGAGAGGTGCTCCAGCCCTTGGACCATTTTGGTAGCCCTCCTCTGGACCTGCTCCAACGTTGCATGTCCTTCTTGTGCTGAGGGCTCCAGAGCTGGATGCAGTACTCCAACTACTTCTTTGATTTGTTCTCCATTTTCCATGGCAATTTTCCAAATCCAAATAGCAGTGAGAACAAATAAGGAACTCATGGAAAATGGTATGCAAATGATTGAACATTTATCTTGTAACTCAGCACAGATATAGCATAACAAAGTATTTGAAGTGAAAAAACAGGTTTTAAAGTATTCTTTAGAGTTACATTTTTACATTTGATTTATACAGAAAGAATGTAGACTGAAAAAAGGCACAAACATACCACTTTCCATCCTTTGAAAGATCAGCTCTCTGGAAGATGTTCAAAAGACTTGATACTACTACTTCTGGATTCACTTGCTTCCTGAAAATCTGAAAAGTAATCAAGAAAAGAAATGAAAGTAGTATAAAATAGAAAATAATTTACCATACCATAATGGAAAATGCATCTGCTATACCAACTGGAAACAAGGACCAAACATCACGAATTGCATTCCTATTGATGATCATGTAGATCATGTAGATAGAAATACTATCAGGGTAAACAAAAGTTGTAAGGCTGCCCAGTATGCTCTCTTGACATGCTGAAGTACGGAGAATTTATCGAATGCAGAAATGTTTGGTAAAATTCATAAACAATAAGCAAAATGCTTCATAATTAAATCAGAATTGTTTTCACTTTACATAGCATCTGTATGACAAAAATATAAGGCACATTAAGAAAAAATACTAAAGTTTCAAGCAGCACTCACGCGCTTCTATTCCTATTTTTTAGTGATGGAGAATGAATGAACACACAAGACCAATTATGCTACTGCTAATAATATTCTCCACTACTACTAGCAGAAGCAACAAAGACAGACTGTTATTCTAGCTGGAAACAATCAGTGCAATGCGTACCAGAGTCCTATCCAGTAAATCTGAGCTGGAGGTTAGTACTTTGCCACTATCAACTGATCAAATGACTCTCATATGGAAAAACTCAACTGAGCACTTCTCACTAGCTTAACGACTTGTCACTGCACCATTTTCCATCCAAAAGGCAGATGACATGGCTTGCATTTTCAAAGAAAAATGCACAGGATAAGCAAAAAGCACACTTTAAATAATAATCAAAGATTAAAATATGCTTTAGTAGCTACATAAAAAAATACCAGTAAATTCAGGTTAACTGCAAACATTTTGGAAAAGATCAGGAAGCAGAAATCTGTGGGGGGGATTGTGAGGAAGAACACAAGCCTCCTAAATTTGTGCTGATTCATCTTGTTAAAGGACAAAATCCATACACTAAGGACATGAGTAGAAGGGGGGGAATTACAAACAATACATTCCAGACGCACATGTTCAAGACCAGCCAAAATCCCTCCTGATGTATCAAAAGATACACACTTACCTCCAAAGAACTGAGAGCAGACATTACAACATCTCTGTTGTCATCCTTGAGCCGACCAAAAATTGCTTCTTCTATAAAAGACTGATCAAAGCCTTCCTGAAAAAATAAAAGGGAAAAAAAGAGTGAAAAAAAAAAAAATTTGTTGGTAGCAAAATTTACAGGATTTTAATGAAATATCTGAATCCTAGTACAAGAAAAGTGGTAACATCATCTAAATTAAAACTCAAATAACATTCAGGCTAACTTTCAACAACAAAAGAAAGGAAGAAAAACGGAAGTATTTATTAACTTAAGATTTTATCTTAGACTATAAGCAGTTTAATAAACAAGAACTACATCCAGAGTCCAGAATAGGGGGAAATGGTGACAGAAGCCTAGTGAAAACACCATGAAAAGCAGTGATGATGACATATGAATAGTTTAACATACCACTCATCTTCAACTGATATGTCTGGCAAAGAGCTGTTTGAAGACATTATATGTTACGTCAGTTCTGTAAGTGAGAGACTCAGGACACAAACCTTTGATGTTTCAATAACATCTTTCAAATGCTGAAGAGCCAGGACCCGCACAGCTGGCTGAGGATGATTCAAACTCAGTAGAAGAGAGGTATCAGAGTCTTCCAGAAACTGAAATACAGATTTCAGAGTGATTCAGTGCATGTTAAAAATGCTTTAAGTATACAGAAGGATAACAGGAGAAATTCTTTCAGCAATTTTTTGTTCCAGAAAAAAACCTCCATAATTCAGACTCAAAAAGCATCAATCACAGAACAACAATGTTTTATAACTCTTACGAATTTGGTCTTCTTCACCTTGGCAGACAGTTTTTGGAATATAGCTTGAAAAGTACAGTAAGCCATGGACACCTTTTTGCCCTAGAAAAGCACTACACTTATCTAAGGATTCTGAGAAAGCTGTAGTGACAATGTCAGTGTGACACAGCACAAACCGTTAAAAAGGCATCCCTGCCAGTCCAATTGTGTGCGCTTATCTCGGGAACCTTAAAAGCTAGGAGAGAGTCATATGCCTTTGTTCTGCATGCCTCGTTTTTCTGTTAATCCACTTGTTATTCAGTCATAGAATCTGTGCCTTTGTTAGACCAGTACAAAAATACAACAAAGCACTTCCTTATGTAGTTTATCATCTTTTCCTAAGTGCTTTCAGTCTTTCAGTCACTGCAAACAACAGTCATACTAACCATCTCTTAATAATAAATTCCTTGGACAGATCTGTTGCACTCATGGTTATTCTGTGTTAGGCTGAGTTTCAATTGCTCTTCAGATATGGCACAGGAAGAACTCTGTAGTCACTCTATTCTTCCATGTTACTGACTGTAAACATTCATTAAATCAATGCAACAAAAAGGACCAAGCCACCTTCTCTCAACAGCGATAAAGTTGTTTGTCAGCTTTCCCAAAACAGACACCTCTGACACTGAAAAAATCTTTAGGTAAGATGAGGCCTTGATGGGTACCACGACGTTGTCATTATCAACCACTACAGTATATGTAGTGGCCATGTTCCTAAGAAAAAAATAATTGATAGCAATCGGGGCAGGTGCAAATGTGTAAATTTTAACCATTAAAAAAAGCTCACACTCATGACTGTTCATGATAAACACGAACATAGAAGATCTGACAGCTTCTGATTTTACCACAGTTTTGATCAAAAAATTACATATAAATAAGTTTGGGTTTGGGTTTTTTTTTTGATGGGAATGGTAGAGATTTTGTTTAGAAAGAGGAAGAGAGAGCATAACTTTACCAAAATATCTGCCTTCTGACAGTATAACCAGGTAAGAGCTAGGATCATGAACTGAGCTTCTACCTACCTTGTATTTGCCACAGCTTAACGAAAGAGAAATAAATTGCTGAAAAAGATTTTGATCAGCCTCATCTGTGTAATTTTCCAGATGCTTCTCCAACACAGAGTCTAAGGCTTTAGGATACCTGCCAACAGACAAAACCCCCAACATTTTCCACAGAGCATTACAGATGAACATGTATTTACTAGAGAAATATAGGGAAATACAAAGAAGCTGAATGCACATGCACTCATCTGAACCAGCTATTTTAAGTAGCTTTGCAAAGGCAATTGACCATTATGCAATTATGCATATGCAGAACGATATGCAGACCACTAGAATAAATAATGAGCAGAAAAGGTCATGCTAAACAGCAAACAGCTGTACAAAGCCAGAAGGTCTGTGTCCATGTATTACAGCGATAACAAAATATATAAGGACAGATCAGTAAAATAAAATTTGGACAAAGATTAGGAGTCAGTCATTTTTACTGTACTTATTTGGGCAAGAATACTGTGGTTACTACACCCAATAGGCTAAGATCATAGTTGACATCACCACTCTACAGATTGTGGGTCTGTCATTGAAAAATAGAACTTACTTTCTCTCAAGAAGTCTGATAAGAGGAAGCATCTTTTGCTTGAGTGCGGCCATTTTGGTGGGATTAGATTCAATCTCTGTACCATAGGAGATAAACTCTTCAAGAAACTTGCTAAAATTACAAACAAAAGAAATAGCCATCATTTTTTGGATAGTACAGTTTTAATTGATGTTATAAAGCACACTGCTAAATAGGTGTTTATGTACTGTATGTATATGCATTGCTTATTGCAAGTACAGATTTGCTCTTGGCCTGAAGTTTCACTCTGTCCCACAAGTACTCCCACAAGTGCTAAAAGTATGGCTCTTCTGGATTACTGAATGCTTCAGTTTCAAAATCCAGGTTTGGAGTTAACTTATGAACTCAGAAAAACATGCTCGTATAATACTAATGCCACTGTCAGGAATTAGTTGCTATTAAACCAGAAATGAGTGTAGTACTGCAGAAGAAAAATAATCAAAGTTAACTCACGAAGCCAACAGGTGATCTAAATCCTTTTCCAGTGGTACAGTCTGAAGAATAGCTTCAAGATGTCTGATGTAAATCTGATTCTCTGTCCCCTCAGATTCTTTCTGTTCCTCTAAGGACAAAGCATAATCATAAAAAATGAACAATGGTTTGAGAATAACCCCCTCACACTGATTAAAGTTAATAGCCTGTACAGGCATCATCATCTGGTGAACCAAGCACACAACTTGAAGACCACAATGTTCATTGATTACTAGCACTAACTCTCTGTGTGCTGCTCACAATGCTTTATACCAATGTCATTAAAATGCCAAACGCTCTATTGCTACCAATAAATTCAAGTATGCTTTGGAATGTTCCAGACCTGCTACCACAACCTGTGCCAGCAACTCCCTACAGCATTCCTTGGCATGAATCTGGCCCTTGTCAACAAAGAGCTTTCCCAGCCATGATTTGGCAGTTACAAGTCCAGAGTGCAAACAGACCTACTAGTGCAGACACAGGCTACTACCACATGCCAGTCGGCCTTGCAGTCCTGGACCGTTCCCAGGCATGTTTAATTCACCAGGTAAACACAGATCTCAAACTACATATGAACTACATGTAATCTACCTAAAAAATATTTTGCAGTACTACAGTACATCTC